ATATATATATATATATATATATATTAATAATATTTTGATATCATTTCAATCACATTCTTCAATAAAATAATATTACATGCAGATCCAAAATTTTTCTTTATTTTTTAACTACACATTTTCCATGAATGTATTTTCTCTACCAAAATTGGGCTCAAACAAGGGCTTATTATCGTCCTTTTGCGTATGAGACATTAGCTTCTTGTCCACGATAAAAAATAACATAATAACTATTCCCATTCAATAAAGATTAGAAAAATTAATTTACTTATTTGAGTTTTGTTATAGGTATTCGGAGTTTGACACTCCAAGTTACCTGCTACTCACATGGGGGTCAGGACCCCATGCCAATAAATGTGTGGGGCCCGACCCCCTCACTCACATCAGGTAACCCGGCATGTCAAACACCGAGTACAAATAACATTTTCCTACTTATTTCTCAATCCATTCATTAATTAACTAATTAATTAATTAATTCATATTATAAGTCCTTGATTAACATCCAACAATATGTAAGTAACTCATGTGGCATGACGAAATCTTTCATGTTTGGCTAGCTTGAAATACAATCATTCTTATCTAATGTTCTAAATGGTTAGGAAACATGAAATATGTTAATCTCATTTCATCGATATATGTTGTATCATTTCAAGTAATTGATTTGTTGAGTTCATATTAGAAAATTCCTTTATCGAACACAACTCTACCTTGGCCAAGGTACTAGTGTATTGATAGTTAAGTCCACGAATAGGACATAGCCAAAATTTGATTCTACTAAAACAGTTGATTAAAATTTAAATCAAAATCAATAATTAATTTTAATCATCTATTTCATGGGACTTACAACTTTTCAATTTCACATTCTATCAACTTTTATCAACATGTAATGAAAATCTAATTTGTATCTAAACCAAACAAGAGCATAATCTCTAACTATCCAACAATGATAAATCCTTTCTTGATCATTCATCGATCTTCACTTGGTTTAATGTCACCCAATTATTATTATATTAGTAACTCTTGAATTATGACGCATGTAACACCATCAAAATGTGACTATCCCCAAATAAGACGTCGAAAACATTAGTTTCACAATAGCCATGAAAGATAGTCCACTAACACCAGTATAATTATCCATGTTGAATCTTGAAGGTGTGCTGTTCGATGAACTTGTTTAAATAACATGCATCCACATATTCATTCCCACACTTAAGTTTGTAACATCCACCATATTTCAAGAGAAAGGAATAACAAGATTAGTATAAACTTCATTATCAATGCAATAGAAAGCTATTACTATACATAAGCAAAATTAAATCCATTGTCTCATATCAGGAAATTGATAATATTGAAAGTCTTCTAGGGTCTTTTACCTTGATCTTCCAATGACCATCAACAAAATTAGCATTTTTTGCTTTGGCCCTATGCTTCTGTATCCTTGCAGCCATTTCTGAAGTCAGCGAACAATATTGTTTCAGTTTCTTGGGCATGCCTTTGTAAACGTTCCACCATCTCTCATGAGCCATGTCACTTGCAAAAATTTGGTATTCTAGACTATCCCAGTTACAATCATAGTCTTGATAGCACATCCATGGCTTTAAACCAAGATAATGCATAGCATACAAATCATCTGGGATTTCATGCATTTGATCATTAATATCGTCGAAGTACTTGAGGTGATTTAACTTCCCCGGAAGACGATGCCACCACGGGAATATTTCATTAAGAAAACCCTGATCACCACCATTGTAAGATGCTACTGAAAATCTCTTCTTCATTAGGGTCTTAAATGTGCAAATAGATGGCTCAATTAGCATCAATCCAGAGTTGAAAATGTGTTTATCATTACTAACAGCTGATAATTGTGGATAATTGAAGAACTTGTCTATGTTTTTCAGTACAATAAAATCTGAGTCTATGAACATGACTTTATCATAATTCTTTAGTTGCCAAATTCGGAGCTTGCTGTAGTTATATTCATTGTATGCGTGTCTTTTCGAGTGAGAACTTCGAATTCGACGAATGGGTTTGATTTTCCATCCGGCTTCTCGGAGACCTTTAAGAAAGTATTGAGATATACGGTCGACATCGGCAAGCAAAACGAGGTCTTTCGTGGTGTTAGTTTTGATTATACTTTGCGCTAAAGCTATTGCACCACAGACATAGTTTTCTGATGAATGAAGGACAGTAACATAAGCTTCTCTTGGTTGGGGAAGAGTGTGACTTTGGCTTGTGTTATCATATTTTCTCCACATTTCTTGACCTGAAATCCAGTTACACATACCAAATATAAATTTTATCAAATTAAGGTTCCAAGTAACCTTATTAGTGTTCTTGTTGAGAATTAACAATAATCATTAAGGGCATGTTTGAGCGACATTTTTTCAAAAAAAATACATTTTTAAACAGTGGTTTGACATCATTTCAACTATACATTTTTTAATAAAATAATATTACACATAAATCCAAAACTTTTCTTTATTTTTTAACAACACGTTTTCCATCAATATACTATTCAAAAATTCATTTTAAGAAAAATAATATGGCTCAAACAAGGACTAAAATTAAAGTTAGATGAATAGTAGAATGGAAATAAGTCGCACTCTATAAAATTTGTATGTTAACACAAAAAAATACGAAATAAAAACATGCTTCCTCACCAACTATGCTAGTTGACAAATGTCTCATTTATTGTATGTAATATTGGAATGT